ATCTGGTGCCCTGTGAAGTCCAGTCTTTACAATGTGTGATCTGCCTGTTCACTAACAGTGTTGCTCTGGGGAGGGAGGAGAGAGAGATGGAACACCAGCTTCAAATACCCCTAGACCTGTAGGACCAATGCCAGACTTAGTGCTGAAGTAATGGTTTCGGAGCTTTTCTGACCAGTTGCCAAGTTTGCTGCATTAGTGATTTGATGCTTTTTTGTGGATATGCCTGATATCCTTGTGACAGTCTTTCCAGGTTGTGGATTTAAGCATTAGCCCCATTTTCCAGAAAAGGATGCTGGCTTAGAATAGACTTAACACATGGTCCCTGCATCAGTGAATGACAGAACTGGAACCAACTCACACTTAAACAGCTGTGACAGGCAAGCCAGAGCCAGCTGTCAGCACTACACAGGGCTTAGTAATGAAGTCAGAGGCTCCAGAGTGTTGGCATTTGTTACAGTGAAGCTGGGGCACCTCCCCAGACCTCCCAAGCCAGACCCTGGTCAGCCCAGAGAAAATTTAGGCTCAGAGAACTTATGTAACTGTCCCAGGATCAGTACACAATAAGGGTGTCCCAGTTTGCAGATGGGAGACTGGCAGCTCAGGATGAAGAAGCCACCTGGTCACTCTTGGGCAGAGCCAGGCCAAGATATGAATTCAGTAGGGCTGGCCTGGGGTGGTGGTCACTGAGCCCAGCTCCCCACAGATGACAGTGCCCACTTTCGGAAACGGGGCTCACTACTCTGGAATCAGCAGGATGGCACCTTGTCCTTATCACAACGGCAGCTCAGCGAGGAGGAGCGGGGCCGACTTCGGGTGAGGTGGGGTCCCTAGGCTGGACTGGGGATGGGGGGCATCCAGTGAGCCCTTCCAGCTGCCCCCTCCCTCCAGGTGCCCCTTCTGCCCTCCTGCCCTCTGTCCCTGTAGCTGCCCAGGCTGAATGGTACCTTGGTTACCCTATATGCCCCTTTTGGGGTGCCTGCCTCAAGGCCTTGGTCCAGGCTTCTGCCTCTTCTCCCACAGGTTACCATGATTGGCTCCTCCTGCCTTTCCAGTTATAACTGTCATTTCATGGCCCCTTGGGAGGAGGCTTGCTTGTGAGGAGAAAAGTCCTCAAGAATGGCCCTCCTTAGACAGGGTGTTCCTCCAGGGCCTCCTCATGGGCTGGGCTTCACCCTGGCCTGGCTCTTTCCTCTTCTGCACTGTCAGTCCCACTTGTGCCCTGCAGGAGGGAGGCTGGGAGCATCAGCTTCATTCTGGCAGCCACGTGCCCAGGGTGCCCTCCCTGTGAAAGATGGCAGGGCAAGGTTGACCCAGATAGCCTGCCTGCATTGTGCCTTTGTAGTTCACTGTCCCAGCTGCCCCCAAAGAAAATTTTATTTCCAGTGGAACTGGAGAGTGAGGCATGGGACAGATGTCCTTGGTACCCACTCTGCTACTGAACTGGGGGCTCTGCTGTCCTGGGTAGCTTTTCTCCCAGAATGGGTAGCCTGGACAGACGAGATTGGGCCAGGCCAGGAGTGCAGTGTGCCAGGTGGGGAAGCTGGGACAGGCTCAGTGGGGTCATGGCCTGGTGGACCATTGTTCTCACTAGCACCCTCTTCTGCATGACCTGCAGGATGTGGCAGCCCTCAATGGCCTGTACCGGGTGCGGGTCCCGAGGCAGCCAGGGGTCCCTGATGGGTCAGAAGCTGGCGGCTATGTCTCTTCCTTTGTCCCTGCGGTGAGTTCGTTATAAGGACTATCCCCATCCTTGTTCCCTGTGCCTACCTTGGTCCCCAGCCTGCCACAGCCTGCCTTGGTCCCCATCAAGCCCCTTGCCCAACAGAAGGCAGGTGGTTGGAGACTTGACCTTGCTCTGGAGGGATCACTCCAGGTGGTGGTGGGGTGGCATCATAGTAGGGCATGGAACATTGGCTCACAGAAGAGTGGCAAAGAGCTGAGGGAGGGTTTTGAGAGATGCTTTGGAGGTCTTGGAAGAGCAGCTCCTGCTCTTCCTGCTCCTCTAACTTGGCTCCCCCCACCCCACCCCAGTGCTCCCTGGTGGAGTCACACCTCTCAGACCAGCTGACCCTGCACGTGGATGTGGCTGGCAATGTGGTGGGTGTATCAGTGGTGACACACCCTGGGGGGTGCCGAGGCCATGAGGTGGAGGATGTGGACCTGGAGCTGTTTAATACATCTGTGCAGCTGCGGCCCCCAGGCACAGCCCCAGGGTGAGTACCTGAAAGGAGGTTGCGGAGGGAGGGTCCTGCTCCTGCCTTTGCTGGCATCCTGACTGGCTGCCTCAGGTCTCTGGGTCCCTGGATTCCTTACCCACTTTTTTCCCCTCCACTTGCTCCCCAGTCCAGAAACAGCAGCCTTCATTGAGCGCCTAGAGATGGAGCAGGCCCAGAAGGCCAAGAACCCCCAGGAGCAGAAGTCCTTTTTTGCCAAATATGTGAGTGGGGCTCCCCTGCCCTCCCTGCCCTCTTCCCTATAGGTCCTGCCCAGCTGGCTGGGCCTCCCTTCTCCTGCCCAGATGACCTGTGCTTGTCTCTGGCACCTGGGCTGAGTCAGGGACGAGGACTGTGGACTCCTGCTTGTGTCAGCTTGTGAAACTGTTCAGAGCCGAGTAGCCCTAGGAGCCCAGAAGGCCCCAGCGAGGGATTTGTGGGCATAGTATTCACAAGCTTATTTGGTAGAAAAATAGTGTGGTGTGGGTGGAGGGCACAGGCTGGGGCAGGCTTCTGTTAAGATGGAGAGGCAGGGATGGGCGGAGGTTTCAGAGGAGTGAGGGAGGCTTCAGGGGGCACCCAGGAAGGCAGAGAGAGGTGGATCTGGGGAGTGTTGCTCAGGGACATAAGGGTGGAGGTGGCCAAGAATGGGCCCAGGGCCCAGGAAGGAAGGACCTGCACTGCTAGAAGCAGATCTGTGGTCAGAGGCCTAGAGGCCGAGGTGGGCAGGAGGCTGGGGAGGTGCTGAAGAAGCAAGCCCTAGTAGAGAAGGTTGGTTTCATCCAACCTTCTTGTCCAATGGCACAGGCCCCCAGGCAAGGTAGGGGACAGCAAGGTCAGTGTTATTCAGGTTGGGAGGGTGCTGGTGGCCTGTGAGTGCTGAGCACCTTCCCTGAGGCCCTCAGAAGCTCCGGGGTCAGGGTAGTTTAGCTGCAGGAAACAGAGGCCCAGAGAGGTGGAAGCTCGACTGCTCTGTCTGCTGCTTGCTTGAGGGCCCACCCTTCCCTGAGGCCCCCGGAGCCCACTGACCTGCGCTCCCCTCCCTCCTCAGTGGCACCTCATCCTGGGGGGGGCCGTGTTGCTTACGGCCCTGCGTCCTGCTGCCCCGGGGCCCGCGCCACCACCGCAGGAGGCCTGAGTGAGGACCAGACCCCTTCCCGCCTCCACCCTCCTGTACCCTGCCGGCCCTGCCCCTGCCTGTAGTGCTGTAGGGGACCTGGGCCCCTCCCCTCACGCGGTCCCCCTAACACCAACCCCCTCCCTACCCTGGGCAGAGTGGCACCCATACTTACTTCCCTTTCTGTCTCTGTTTGTCCCCCTCTGCCCTGCAGTGGATGTACATCATTCCTGTTGTCCTGTTCCTCATGATGTCAGGAGCACCAGACGCCGGGGGCCAGAGTGGCGGTGGGAGTGGGGGTGGCAGCGGGGGTAGTGGCCGGTAAGCAGCACACACCCTCTTTACCCAAGGACTTCCTTTACCCATTCTCCCATGTTCTTGGTCATCCCAAGAAGGACTTGCTGGCCCCCTCCTGTCTCCTCATCCCATGGAGGTAGAAAGATGCCCCCTCTCTAGGGGTCCTGTAGGCTGCCCGGGGAGCCCATATTCTCTGGGGGCCTCTCTGTTCTTTTTAGCAGAGGGGTGGCAAACTAGAGTGCATCTGCTGTGCCCCCTTTCCCATGACCCCACCTCAGCCTCATGGGCTCCCCTTAAACCACAGGCTGGAGTCCAAGCGCTGGGAATTGTGTCACTGCACCCCATGGCCCACCCCACCCCAGCCCTGCAGTCTGGGAACATGCCACGTCCTCTCCAGCCTCTGTGCCTTTGTTCTGGGTGTTCTTGCCCTGCCTGGCCTGGACTAGGTTCCCAGGGCACCTCCTCACTTGGTGTGTGTCTCTGGCCTTCCACAGTCTCCCCTCTGAGGATGTGGTTGGGAGTGGCTGGCCGTGGGTGCCCTTGGGTTCCACTTGCAGCACCCCCCGTCACCCTGCCTGGCTGTGGGGGAAGCACTGGGCCTTCTGGACGCCAGGCCTCTACTAGCCTTCTGGGTGTGAAGAGTGGTGGTGTTTAATCAGGAAATGACAATGGAGTCAGGGCCAAGTGATATGAATAGAATCCCCTCCTCAGTCTTACCTGGGTCACCTTACCCAGGGTGCAGCACCTGGACAGGCTGCTGGGCCTCTGCTGTTTGTTGCCCCTTGTCTGTTGAAAAACGTTTGCATTATATTGAAGGTTCCAGCTTTCAACAGCCAAGTGTGGCTTGAGTTCTGCTGTTCACTTATATTTATTCAGAAATAAGAAAATGGCCATCGTTGTCATTATAATGTTATAATTGCTATGAAGCATTCAGTTGTCGTATGGCAGTTGATTAAACTTCCCCAAATGTCCAACATGTAGCTCCCTTTCTGCTTTAGTGGTCATTAATGGCCCTGCAGGGGGCCTGCAGTTGTGACTTGCCTAGCACATGGGAGACGCTGTTTGATTCTCAGCAACACATAAGAACAAATAAAAATAAAGGTGTCGTGTCCAACTACAACTAAAAAAACATTAAAAAAAAAAACCATAACCCTACAGGGAGTGTTATCCAGTCCCTCTGGTGTGCATTTGGGTGGTTTCCTTGGGTCATGAGGCAGAATGGAATTGCTGTGGCAGATGAAAAGCACCTTCGTGAGGCTTGTCACTGCGGCATGAGGGCCGCACAGTTCAGTCTCTTTCCCTCCCAGCAGATGTGAAGGCCTAGCATCTTCCTTTAACAAAAGAATTAAGGATGTTGTCCTGCACGTCCTGCTTTGTCCCAAGGTGTTTCCTTGCCCTACCAGAAGGATGTACTGGGACCATTCAACCCCTCCTGTCCCAGCTCCACACACGTAGGCCTAACTCAGGTGAGGTCCCAGGCTGGCCCACAGGCCGCCAGCCTTATCCCACATCCTTGCCAGCAGACTTCTCAAACCTGGGCCAGTCTGATAGATTAGAAAATGGTATCACACAGCCTAGCATGGAGGTGCATGCCTATAATCCTGGCTGCTTGGGAGGCTGAGGTGGGAGGATCACAAGTTCCAGGCCAGCCTCAGCAACTTAGCCAGGCCCTACGTCAAAAACCAAAACGGCATGTGTTGCTCCAACCCTGTGCTTCCAAAAACAGAACAGAGTGTGCGCAAGCCCAGCAAAGGGCTCTGGAGAACTCCAGCCAGCTCATAGGTGGCACGCACTTGCGGTTTGAGTTGCTCTTAGAGCTCATCTGGTACTTCAGTCCAACTGAGAGGCGGCTTATGTGTGCATGTTCTCACTGGGGCCTGCCCTTCACCTCCTCACTCCTTCCCAGCACTCCAGTGGCTCACACCCCTCCCCTGTGCACTTTGGCATAAGGCCTGAGAGTTCCCAGGCATTGGCCAGTTTACATACTCTGTATTTACAAAGGGTCTGCTGTGTCACATGCCTGTCAGCCATGGGGTTACCTTTTTTAAATGTTTTTGTAGCTGTACTTCAAAAAATGTCCCAGGGTTCCTCTGACTTCCACATCTTTCCCTGATGGTGAGAGACTGTGATGCCATCACGCTCTGTTAGGTCTGTTCCACGTGGATTTCTGTCTCTCAGATTACCCCAGCAGTATTTACTGATGCTTTTTGGGAATCTGTTCACTACTCAGTTCTTAACCTTGATCAAATTTGCACATCCCTCTTCCCACAGCAGTTTGCATGGCCATCTGGTTTTTAATGGATTAGGCTTTGGGATCTTTATATATCTGATCACATTCTTTTCCTCCAATACTTTTGCTTGCTCTCAGTTGGCACTTACTCTGGTATTCTAGAAGATGTCTGAGTTTCTTCAAGGTCCCCAGGACTCTGTCCTTATTAAATTTCTCTTACCATTCCTGCTTGTCCCTGTAGAACTCATTCACTGTTTTATTTTACTGACCAGGGTTTCCAGGGTCTTCAATACATTAGGATCCATGGCAAAGAGCCTTCTACCCACCCCAGGCTCTTGCCCCCAATTCCCCTGGCAGGGGGCAGCCTGGGGTTTCTGTGACTTGACCACTGATTTGGAGACAGTCTGTACATCAACAAACAGATGCTCTTGTTTTGCACAAGTGTGTTGCTCTTGACCCACCCCTTCCTCCAACATAAATTGGAAAGATTTCCACTGGTGGGTGGGTTCTGCACAAGCTGCAGCCTCTGAAGCTAGGAAGTGTTGCAGCTCTTAATGGCCAGCCACACCCTCTAGTGTTGCAGCAGACCCAGCAGCTCACCTGGTCCCTGCTGAGAAGTGGCAGGGAAATGGTGAATCAGCAGAGTGGCAGCTGGGTACACAAAGCACAGTCTGAACACAAGGTGCCTAGGGGAGCCTGCCATGCCAACGGGCTCTTCTTTCGATTTCATTTGAAGAATGAAATCCAGAGACCAGGATGAGTGAGTATAGGAGCAGGATTTATTTAAGGGTGCATAGAAACAACCTTCACAGGATTAGAGGGGACCTGACAGGTTGCTGTCTGAGTGTGATAGGGGTTTATATAGCACTTGGGCCAATGCTCTTGGCCCAAACTTAACCTAAGTAGGGTTGGAAAATTAATACCACTATTGGTTAGCCCTGAATTCCACTCAGGTTTACTTTACTTCCATTTTCTCGTGACTTTGGGAAGTGGGAGGTTGAAGTCATTGAATTGTACATGCTCAGTAACTGTATCAGGTGTCTGGAGGTGCACACGCCTGTGTGCAGGCTGGGCTGCTGTGGGGTAACAGGTTGGTTTCTCCCGGCTCACTTAGGTGCTGGTCTACCGCACCTCAGATCCACGCTGGCATGGCGGGCTCCCCAAGGCACCCTGTGTTCAGCCTGTGCTTTGTGTGTCCAGTTGCCACTCTGCTGATTCACTGTTTCCCTGCCACTTCTCAGCAGGGACCAGTGGGTTGGCTGCATGGCTTGGTGACCAGGGAGCCACATCACCTGGACCATACCTGCCTCCTGGCTCCTGCTTTAGGGAGCACTGAAGAAGTCAGCACTTCCCACCCTTAGTTGCTCTGGGATCCTGCCCAGGACCCTGTTCCACTCTTCCTACCCCTCCAGGTCCCCTCTCTCTTTTCACTGTTCCTATGTGGCCACAGCCTCAGCTCAAGCCTAATCTTCTTGGTCCATCAGCCCAGCATCCTCTTCGGCCTCCCAGCCTCTAGCTTCCCCCACTCACCATCCATCCTCTTCATGAGGAGCTTGATACCACAGTTTGCCTCTACTGAAGCCCTCCTGTGGCTCCCCAGCATCCACTGGACAAAATGCCATCTCCTCCTGGCATTGAGGGATACCATGTCCCTTATTGAGCGATCAGTTAGATAATCACCAGGCCAAACCTCTGGCACTGTTCTCACCTGCCCACCCCCCAGCCTTATCCCTCCTGCCTCTTTCTGCCATGTTCCTGGCCCCAGCTCAGTCCTCATTCTCTTCTGGACTCTGTCCCCAGCATGGCTTCAGGTCTAAGACATGAGGCCTCAGTGAGGGGACTGCCTCACCCCTCCAATACCCTTTTCTGGTCCCTGGCATGTGGATACTCCCCCTTTCCAATCTAGGGTTTCATACCGGCATTTGGCTGTTTTTAGCACTAATTGTGTGGCACGTGGCCTTAGGATGTGGAAGGCTAAATTTTGGATATTATAAGACTACTGCTCCCCACTGTGGCTTCTGGAAATAAGTCTGTGGGCTTTTTACCCTTGGAAGACTCCAAGGCAAGGAGCAGGGACTTGTTCTTGGGCCTCCAGCTGTTGGTCCCCCACCTTGGCTCACATCTATCTTCCCTTTACAGAGGGGACATACTCGATTAGGCCCAGTCCCTGGAAATAGTTTTCCAAGCAAGCCGGTGTAAGCCAGATCCCAGGCCCTTTTCTCCCATAATGCAGTCCCCACTGCATCGTCACAGGGTGAAGGAGAGACTCCTTGAATGAATGCCCTGACAGCACGGGAGGATCTGGGTGTAAGCTGGCATACCAGGAAGCTTGTGGGGCAGGATCTTTATATGTTGGAAGTAAAAGTGGTCATTTCTGCAGCATTTTGCAAATCTGTCCTCCCCCACCCAGTCTCCCCACCTCCCCCAGGCATTCTTGGCATTGTCCTTATCCCTGAGGTGGACTCAGTTATAATAGAGCCCGGGTGCTGTTCCATCTGCTGCCAGGAGGTGGTAACTGAGGGCCCTGCATGGATGAAGTGCCCTGCAGGTGGCGCTGTTGGTCCTTCAGGCCAGGTCTTCCCTGGAGTCTCCGTCCTCACTGCTGCTGGTCTTTTGAAGCCCTGGGCACCTGTTTCTCATGGGTGAAAAGGAGATCTCCACATGGACGTGCTCTCTGCTGTCTGAGAAGAGGGTGGAGTGCTGGGAAGGAGAACAAAGCAGAAGGTCTCATCCCCTTCCCACCAAGTTCAAACTCCAGTCCAGGAGCTGATCCCTAGCCGGCCCCAGGGGTCCACCCAGTCCTGGCCCTGCCACTTACATGCAACTGCTTCTGTCTCTGGTCCCATTCCTCATTTCCTCCTTCCCAGGCTTTGGGTGGGCTTGATTTCTCCAGGGGTATCCAGCGTCCAGGACAGACAGAAAAGAGAGAGAACAAACGTCACAAAGTTCTTTCAGCTCCTGGGCTCTGGCTTGGCAGCTCTGCCTCAGGTGGCCCACCTCCTGCACTGGATGGAAGCCACCTCCTCAGCCTGGGAACCTTGAGTGCTGGGGCAGGGGAGGGAGGGAAAGGGCAGGAGAGGAATAGGGAGAATGCAGGCGCCTCCCTGAGACTGGAGGAGGCTGGACCCCAGAGGATTGAGAGGGTGGGGAGATTCAGAGAGGAAAGGAGGGAGAGGACGTGGGGAGATTTACGGATCTCCCAAAGGAGAGAGTGGGGAGCAAGAGG